TTTGTCTTGCGTATTTTTTGAAAGGTATTTTGTGTGTCAAGTGATTTAGTTTTCTTTTTATCTAGAACCTAGAATTACGGAAATCTCCAGCACAAACCGCTGTCGTTCTTGTTTTTGATCGTATTCGGGATGCTGGCTCTGGGATGAATTTGGGCACAAGATCACTAATTACATTTCGACTTGTGGTGCCATCCAACCAAGTTGGTTGTTTATTGGGGAAGGGAGGCACAATAATTTCAGAGATAAGGAAGGAGACAGGTTCCAGCATACGAATATTTAGAGGTGACCAAGTCCCTAAGTGTGTCTCAGACAATGATGAAGTTGTGCAGGTGAGATGTTCAGCCTTTTGCCTTTCTAGCTTCAACTTTTTATAAATACTTTTGCAAATCTACCAAATTTTTATTTTGATAAGTAATTAGAAATTTTATAGATACTTGTTATAAGCAAGAACATCAAGCGTAATTACAGAAAGCATAAATTCTCTATTGTGTCTAGTATTGCATCTATATCTTGTACAATAACTAGGTTGCACCAAAAAGCAAGCACAAAATACATCTTAGTTTAAGGCTATGAATGTTTCTCCTATTGCCATAAAAAATTCTGCTATTTCTTTCAAGCCAGACAGTTGCACTGAATATTTGAAAGTAATTTAGTCATCTCTACCTCACTGTGGGTCAGCGCCTTTGAAAGGGACTTCATTAGTGACCAGATAAGTTTTGTACCCCATTAATTCTAGTCGGGTGGGTGCCGGTCTGTATTTCGATAGATTCCCTTAAAAACTGTATTGCGGATCTCCCCACATGCAGCTCACACCATTCGATATGGCCCAGCCCAACATCTATTCAGAAATCCAGTTGTGAAATTGAGACTGCTCAACCTAGGAAGCTAATTCACGTCTAGGTACAGCTCTCTGTCGCACACCTGGCCTTTTAAGAGTAAACCGTCCTGTTTTGGATACAAAGATTAATTGTCCTTATCATGATTATCACAATTTTTGTTATAGTTTATCTAGGTTTGACTCATGTCCTGCTGCATATGGTCCGGCAATCTGTCAAAGAAAGAGTATTGATTAAGTTACATGACTTCTGTTTCCGTCTGCTTTGTTGAAGCTCACGTTTTAATTCTCAGGCAAGCATAGCAATCTTGTGTCAGTTTTACTTGAATGATATTGTTTTTTTAGAATGGTGTTTTTCAAATGCAAATGAGTTGTATCAGCTAGTTAATTAATTGACTATATATGGTATCTGACCAAATATTCAGGATATGTACAGGTCTGAACTGGTGCATTACTTCGAGTGGCATATACTATTTGTTGTAATGTTAGGGTAATGCACTTTTTAGATTACATAATATATAAAGCCTTAGGCTCATTAATATTGGCAACTATTCTTAAAGCTAAGTGGATGCAATAGGCTAACATCAATATATCGGTTGGTGCTTAGTAGACGATGTCAAGATCATCACGAGTCGCAACTTTGTCTTTGTTAATCTTTTCGCTGGAGATTGCTGATCTACAATTCATAACTTGGTTTAGAGTGAAGCAATATTTGGTGCTTAAGAATTTCTACAATTTCAGAATATTTAGCCTACTTGGTTATTGGAACATGAATTACCAAATTCAAAAGCATCTTTTCTCCAGTTATGGTGAAATATGTCCAGGTTTCCCTATCAAAAAGAAAAGGTTTAAAGATTGAAAGTGAGCTCCTAAATACCTGTTTCTCTTCATATTTATTGAAGGAAGATTACTGATATGTCCTTTCTTGTGGAGAATTCATCTTCGGATTAGATTATTTGAAAATTATCACACTTTCTTTCATACGTGTGGGTTTCCACACCTATTCAAATCAATGTATAGGAGATCAAAATATTTTGGTGTTTCTGTTGCACTGAGATTATATTGTTTAGATTGCAGGTGAGTTTGTAAATGTACAAGATGCTTTACGAAATGTCACTGGTCGGTTGCGTGATAACCTCTTGGCAGCGAAGGTGTCAAATGGTGCTGTAAGCAGAAACAGCCCTCCTCTGGCGTCTGAAAGTAGTCTCTCTGGCCAAATGAAGGAACCTCCTTTTGGATTTCATCGGTCTAGTGGTGTCTCACATGGTACCAATCGGCATCCTGATTTAACCCGGTCTATGGATAACCTTGTACTTTCTAACAACATAGATCATCCCCCATCACCAGGACAGTGGTCAGCGCAGGTGAACTGCTAAATGCTTAATTTTCCCTTTAATTTAATAAATCTTCACTGACTAATTTTCAAACATTTTCGGTGGCTTTGGCTATTAGACACGACCTGGAGGAAACCAAAGAGGTGCTTTTGATGTCAGCAAAGGATCTAATTCAGTTAAAGGCGGCATAGAACTTGGATGGTTTGTGTCTTGCATTACTTCACAAGCACTTAATGCTTTTTCACATGTGATAGGACCTAATGATGAGGGTGGACTCCCTGTAACATGGCTTTTATGAAAGTTTTCCCTGCCTTGATTTTCCAAATAGTCATTATAGACTTGATGAAAAGAGCACCTAAGATTATCTCATACCCCAAGTAGAAATTTCTTGGTTGTATTCATCAGGTTGTTGCATTTTTGCTATTGCTTGCAGTGAAAGCAGATCTGCCATTGTGACCAATACTACAGTGGAGATCTTGGTTCCTGAAAATGTTGTCAGCTCTGTGTATGGGGAGAACGGAAGCAACTTGGCTCGTCTAAGACAGGTATGTTAGCCATTTACCTTACTAATTGGTGTAGTGGAAAGTGCACAGGATAGGTGAAAACTCTACCTTGACTTCTTAATTAAGAACCTGAGAAAGCAATAAAGAGATGAACCATGTTAAACTCCTGTTTCTCTTGTATGTCTTTCATTTTTCTCTCCGGCATTTAATCTTCGGCTGCACTTAATCAGATTTCAGGAGCAAGGGTCATGGTACACGAGCCCCGCTCTGGAACAACTGACAGGACTATTGTAATCTCTGGGACACCAGATGAAACACAGGCTGCTCAGAGCCTCCTTCAGGCATTCATACTAACCGGATAGCCTTTAACTTATCAAAGAGCTAGCTTCCAAATTTTGTATCCTGAACTAGTACCAATTAGATCTCTATCAACAGCCAATTTCATTTTTTTAAAGTAGCCATTCATCCATAAGATATTTTGTATACTATGTTATGTGTTGACTCTGAGGTTTTTGTTAGATACTAGGAGATAAAAGCCACCGGACAATAAGTTTTTATTGGTTTGGACATACCTTGGGAAATAAGAAATTCTTTCCTGATTCAGTTCAGGGTAAATTGACTATGCGGTATAATGTGTTAGCATGTATAAGAGGTTTTTCTTTCATTTGAAAGGGATAGGTTGACACTTGACTTCTTTATTGCACTTGACTTCTTTATTGCTTGTATGATGTATCTCTTTGAGTTAAAAGTGTTCTTGGATAAATTATCTCCATACATGTTAATAGTTATGGAGGCATATAGTTATAATTCAGACATCTTACTTGTTCCAAAATTGAATTCTAATATCATTATTGTTTAAATTTATCCAGTCTGTATAGCATACCAAAAAGATAACGGACGGGCTTGTACGATTCATCTCTATATTTCAATTTTTAAATAGGTACCGTATGCAACCTATATGCTTATAGGCGATATAAAGCAATTCATTCTTCCATTTCCCCCCCTTCCAAATAGTCAATTTAGAATGAAATTAGCCATCGATATAAAGCAGTTAATACTTCCATTTTTTCTAAATAATCAATTTAAAATGTACCGAGCACGTGTCAAATTGTACTGTTTCCTCTTTTCTTTTCTTATTGGGACATTATGCCTATTGGTCATAGTCATGCAATATGTGTAAATACACGTGGACCTCTACACAAACACATAGTATTGGATAGAGTTACCTAGTACTAGGTGCGGGAGAAAAGTGGCACATGTTTTGTGAAATTAGTTGAGTGCGCACAAATTGACCCGTATACTATGGTTATAAAAAAACGTAGTAGTATAGAAGATGAAATGGAAGGCTGGGTGTTCGATAAGTAACAAATGAGAACTCGTGTGTTTTGTTGCCTCACCCCCCNTTAAGATTAATGATGAGATTTGAACTCTGCTTAGGTATAAGTTACAACAATCACGATGTAGTAATAACTTAATGTTAATAGATTCTAATTTATTAAAAAGGCTCGAGCGTAACCTGCTTGTAAACAAGTCACTCAAACGGGAACTGATGCTGTAGTTACCAATTGAGTAAATTATTTATTCACAATTATGCATATGTCGCATTTATTCTATAGATTAAGATATTTGTGGTAAGATTTAAGTTAATTTTATTGTAAAATGCTCTCCAATTATGTAGTTTATTATTGGTGAAAGTTGAAAATATGTGAGTATTTCACTTATAACACTTCTAAAATCATTTTTTACTATTTCACTAACGCTTTAATATTAAATTTTAATACTTATTTTACTATTTAACTAATATTTTTTAATATAAAATTCAATATATACAAACATAAATGACCAAACTAGTACTCACAAATACTGAATAAAAGTTAATATTCCCTCCGTCTCATATTATGTGTCGTGTTTCTCTTTTACACGCCACTTAAGAAATATTAATTAGGAAAGGGATTGAACTATTCTACCCTTATGTATGTCTTAAAATATAATATCTCTTTATTGAATATTTGTTCTATTTATGTGTTATCTCCATCTTCAAGAATAATTATTATTAAGGATAAAAAAGAAAAAAATAATTAATTTTGCCTTGAACTTCTAAAATGACAGATAATTTAAGATAATTATTTTTAGTAACTATGATTGTTAATATGAGAGGGAGGGAGTATTAGTATACAAATTGTTTCTTTAAATAGAAGAAACAATTAATTGTTTCTTCTAAAATGACATAAAGATTCGGGTTTATTTGGATGTGGTTCAAGTTTATGGAGCCTAGATTTGTTGGTTCATAGCTGGCAGTGCTCGCGGGGTAATATTGTACTATAGTAGTATTTTTATTTTAGAAAAAACAAATAAAAGGACGTCAGAAAATGGCAGAATCAAATCGCAGAGCTAACATGTACGGACGGGAGACAATTAACGCTGCACTTCACCACCAGCAAACTCAGATCGACGACGACGACGATGACGACGTCGCCGCTGGAACTGAAAGCGGCGGCGGCGGCGCTGATGGAGGAAGAGAGTCTATGGATAACAACCCTAACACTCGCTACGACCATCACCACCAGTCTCATAGTCATTCTCACGCGCTTCACAACGGCGGGGAGGCCATGGAGATGAATGGTGTGGAAGGCGTTTCACATAACGCGTTGTATTGTCCCCCTAATACCGAAATAGTTCAAGCTGCTGTTGCTGCTGGTAGTGGAGCTTCCGATCAGCTTACGCTGTCGTTTCAAGGCGAAGTTTATGTTTTTGATGCCGTTTCTCCAGAAAAGGTCCTTCTTTTACTTTCTTGTTCTTATTATAAAGGTTTGCCCTTTATTTGTGTAGTGTGTTCTTTATGAGTTTAGCTGAAAGAGTGCTTCTTTTACTTTGATCTTATCTTCTTATTTTTGAAATTGTTTGTGCATTACTTGGAATCTTGCTTGTCTTAGTGTAGTGTGTTGTCTACATGTTCATTGCTTCTGGGTAGATTGAGTAAATTAGGGAAATGTTTCCAATTTTTGAATTGAGGGTAATTGTGTATTTGGCAGAAAGTTCTTGCCTCACTTTCACTTGACTTTTGGAGTTGAGGTGATTCAAGACTCGGGAGTTGGTCGTTTCTGAGATTAGGTGGTATGTGAATGGTGAATTGGTTTGATATTGATTAGGTTTTACGTGTATGGTGAATTGGTTGATATTGGTCAGTTTTTGAAGCAAAGAACCCGTGCTGGTCTTTTTGTTCTTCTAGGAGTAGGAGTGATTCTCATCGGCATGATTTTAGTATATGCATCTGGTAGTGGAGTTTAATTCCTCTTTAGTGGTTTAAGTTGATAATTATAATCATTTTAATTGGGGCAATTTTTTTTTTTTTTTTTTTTTTTTTATTGAGTTTCAGGTTCAGGCGGTGCTGTTGTTGTTGGGGGGATATGAAGTCCCTGCTGGAATCCCTACTGTTAGTGTGGCAGCCCAAAGTCAGAGGGTATTCATCTTTATCTCCAGCATACATTCTTTTACCATTCTGCTGGGTTTTAATCAGTTATTGCTCTTCCGCCCCAATATCCACAGGCTTCAGCTGACTTTCCTGGAAGATTGAATCAACCACAAAGAGCTGCTTCTTTGAATCGTTTTAGGGAAAAGAGGAAAGAACGGTGTTTCGATAAAAAGATCCGTTATACTGTACGGAAGGAAGTTGCGATGAGGTAATAGAGCTGCAATTTTTCATGCATGATCAAATTGGAAGTGTGTCGCGATTGATGTACCATTTGTAATCACCAATACTCTGTGCTAACCATTATATAATTAATTGACGTTGATATTCTAACTTTTTTTGACAATGAGTGAGAAAAACATTTGTTGAGTGTTGTACATTCCTTGCTTCTGGCTTTAGATGCCAGCATAGTGGATATTGGATGCCAAAGACATTCTTAATTGGAACTGAGCTACATGGGCCTAAACACAACATGGTCATATATGCATATCAAGTTTTCAAATAGTGATAGCTTTCTCCTTGCTAAGGCACACTTGTTTATATTGTCTTCATCTCTTCTCTGTGAGCTCTTGCTTATTTTACCTAATATGGACTTCCCGTATGCAAAAACTACATGAATCCTAATAGGACCTTGTGGATATCCAGCTGGTTGATAACCATAATATATGCACTAAAATGTGAAAAAATGCTATCTAGTAGAAGAGTAAAACTACGAGAACATGCAATGTACTGCTACTTGACATGGCCAATGTGCTTGTCTCAGAAAGTGCGAAGTGAAGTATCATAATCCTCCATTTGTTTCTGCAGTACTCTATGAAAAGGTCTAACAGAGTAAACTCCTCGTTGCAAATTGTCCATTGAATAACATCTTCCTTGTTCCTCTCCAATACAGCAGACTGCATCTTCTGTATAAATTTCTGCAGCTTCTACCATTTCCCAGTCACATAAATTCCTTCTGAAATGAAAGTTCCAACCATCTTCCTTAAAGTAATCACCACTAATAACATCAGGCACCAGTACCAGTGTAAAAAGGTTTGGGACAAAGCATCCCCTCCTCAAGCCAAACATCTGCCCCTAGCTTATTCTTCTGTCCATTCCCCACTTTCAATTTGGTAACATTTCTAACCTCGCTTGCAATCTGTTTCATGATACTCGATGGCCTTGGAAGATGATATGGAAATCTATGGTTCCTACCACAGTAGTTCAGCAGATGTTTTCTATGTAAGGAGGAGCTGAAGCAGTGGAGCATATTTTTCTATGTTGCTACTTCGCAGGGAAGATTTGGTCGTTGTTTCTTAATATATTTAAATATGGTGGATACTTTCTCAGAACTCAACTTTATTCTGCTATTGAGGATCTCTGGATGCTGACAAGAGAAGAAAGAAAATTTGGATGGCTATCCCTTTATGCATTGCTTGACCCTTTGGCTGGAAAGGAGTAGGAGGTGTTTTGAAGACCAAAAAATAAGCATTTGTCCTTAGTCAAGTTCAAATGTATTCCAAACTTGTTCTGTTGGCTGAAAGGAAACATTGTATTCAACTGGGCTGACCTGCTGGACTTATTGAATCTATGAGTCTGTAATGGAAAACAAGTCCAACATTTTGTAATTTTCTATAGTACTACCTTAGTACTGTGCATCGATAAAATCTTACTTTATAAAATAAAAAAATAAAAAAGAGCAGAGTGAGGGTGTCATGACTGAAACTGTTAATAAAACTATGGGCAGGCTCACTTATTAAAGGGAAAAAGTAGATCTTTATGGTAGAGTGCACCTGAGATGCACACACTTCTTTCATACCTAAGGCATTGTTTGAATGTGAATATGAAATTTTGTAATACTGGGACTGCTGGGAACAGTTGCTATGGGAGGGAATCCTCACTTACTCTTTCCCTTAGGGTTGTGCAGAAGAAAAGGTTAGCTACAACATTTAAGGAAAATTGTAGTGCAATGGGTTGACATTAGAAATATAAATGGGATAATTGTTGTGAAAACTTTGTCTTATAAGTGGGGAGGGTGGTGTAATAGTCTTGAAATGATGAAACCTAACCTCCTATGAAGCAAGACTTATATTCCATCGATGCAAATCTCCACAATCTTGCTGACTTTGGAGCATGAGGTACAACTTGCACTATAGTAGTGGGCTTCACAAGCCGAGTTTCAAGCTGTGCGCCATTGGCCCCCGGGGTTTTTCAATTATCAAGCATTACCCCTTTGGCATAATATATCAAATTTTGGCATGAATAATGAAGATCACATTATGTAATAGAGCACCAAAATGTGTTTTTAGTGGCCTTATTGTTCTCTGCAACTTGGGAAGAGCCTGATGGCATCTTAGAATCTAATATTGCTTAGGCAGTGCTTTATGTTTTGTGACTGTTCTCCACTTAGTGTCTGAAGTGTTGATTTATTGAGCTAGATCTTGTAAAATGTAGGGTATCGAATTAAATGGATATTCCTTTTATTTTATTTTAAATTACGGTAGTTTCCACGCCAATTTGTGTACCCCTTGACTATACTACCGGGTACCTGCTATCTCCCACCTGTACAGATAGGAGGTTATTCTGCCTGCCAGATTTAAGCATATGTGAAGAAATCACCTAGTTTTTTTTGCCTCCTGGGTTTTGAACCTAAGACCTCAGGGTTCTCAACTAGGCCGGTGGAAGAATGGATATTCTACTAGCTCTTCTCGCATGTGACCATGCATCAATCTTCAACTGGGGCATGTTTTAATTTTAGAAAACTGCTTCCAACCCATTCAAGCGAAATGACTATTGCTAAAGGATGTCTTAGTAACATCTGACTGTGCAAGTTGTGCAGGTATCCTTAGACGTTATGTTGGCTCTTTCTAGTCAATGTCATTTATTTTGTGTTTTCTCTTCTTGCTCCATACTTCTAGAGGGAGGGGATATGGGGTCCTGTTATGTTTTTCTAAGTTGTAAATTTCGGTCCTTGTCTATATTTTGATCAGGCTTGTTAGTTGAAGTTCCTACAAAATGATTATGGTTTAAGTCAGTCTTTTTCTTGGTTCATGTTAAATTTTCTCATCTGATATGTGTTATATTTTCAGGATGCAGCGTAAGAAGGGCCAGTTTACATCTTCAAAGTCAATATCTGACGAAGCAGGTTCTTCATCTGCAGATTGGAATGAAGGCTCTGGTCAAGAAGAGCAGGAAACATCGTGAGTGTCCAACTTCTGCAGTTCTGTAGTAGTTGCTTTTCCTTTTTCAACTTATAATATGTTTCCCGTCCCAACAAATTCCCCTACCTAGGAGCAAACTGTGGCATTTCCCACTTTTGTTCCCTTAGTGACTTTAACACTCTGACTTCATGGTTGGAGGTGGAGGGCCTTACTACTAGGCTATACCTCCCTTTTCTGTAGTTATTCTGTGTTTGGTCATTGAATTTGATGTAAATTCCTCTGGTTCATTTTACATAAGAGGATTGAACTTTAGATAGTGTCAGAGTTCAGAGGTTACTGATCACATTATATACAGTTGACATCATTCTAAGATGTTTCTCTTTCCATATCTCAACAGATGTAGGCACTGCGGTATTAGTTCGAAATCCACTCCTATGATGCGTCGTGGACCAGCTGGGCCAAGGTCTCTTTGTAATGCATGTGGACTCAAGTGGGCCAATAAGGTTAGTATTGAGTTGAAAATTGTGCCCATTTCTATAGTTTTTATTTGGATATTAGTAGACATAAATGCCTCTTGATGTTCCTTTTTAAAAAATGCCTCTTAATGTTTTGCTCCATGATCAAATATATGGTTCTGCACAAAGAGCATCCATTGATGACTAGGATATCATGTGTGCTTCAATGGTTAAGGGGAAAAAAGATTCTGCTTAAGTGTTCAAAATGCTTGTTATCTCTTTCAATTGAAACGAAATTATTTTTGCTCAATAGTGTCCACATGAGAGCCAACAGAGTCACATCCCCTGATCCATTTTTAAGCTTTCCCTCCCAAAACTTTCACACTAATAGCATGTTCTTATCTATTCCTGCAACGCCTTCTGAAGTCCGAGTATATTTCTCAGTAAACAGTAAACACCGTACATTTATGTTTCCTAGTAACTTTGTAAAAAAGGAACAATAACCTTTCTATCTTGCTGTGCACACAGTTTCTCTTTTCGTGTTGGCAATTGAATATGATACTTTTCCCATAGATGTACTTTGCTTCTCCTGTCCATCATGTGCAGGATAAAAAAGAAACCTATTGCCTTTTTTGTCATCAAGATCCCATTGCAGCTGTTGTTTTGCATGATTAACTTCATAATTAACATGATACATACTTGGCCAGTTATACATCATTATCAGCTTTTACTTTCAATGAAATAAATCATTTCTTAGTCAGTGTTTGAAAATATAGCGCCGGTACACTCTAACATAAGATAATAACACAAACCTTAATGTTAACCCTTTAAAAAGATTGAAATAAGATAATAACACAAACCTTAATGTTAACCCTTTAAAAAGATTGAAATAAGTAAGCAAATTCCTTACTATTTGTAAAAAAAGAGCTCAAATATGTTTTACCTACCTTGTTAAATTAAAAAAAAAACAGGAGCTCAAATGTGACCTTTACTTTTGTGTTAGAAGGTGTAAATTAAGTTATATTACAACTCAAGCTCCAGGAGATTATTTTCATCTGAGTTAATGAGTGATATTAATTATTATTTTACAGGTATTCTGGAATTATTTCTCTACCATATTCATTTTTGTTTGAACTCCTACTTACAATAGTTGAATAATGGACGTCTATCTGAGCAGTGAAATTTTTATCCCAACTCTTCTTTTATTCTTCTTTTGCCATTTGAAACGTAAGAACTACTACCTTTTGGATATTTTCTTCAATATAACCCTCTGTCAGCTCGCCATTTGGTCTTCTGGTATTGATTATCCTGATATGGGATGAATTAGTAGCCACAGCATGTCTTTTTTACATTGATATCTGATAGAGTTGATGAAACACAGTTCTTTTTGCTTTTCACATCACATTGCTCTTCACCTTCTTTGTCAAGTTAAAAGAAAATTTTCAATCTCGTCGTTAAACAGTCATTTCCATCAATTGGAATTCGTTAAATGGTTTTGATGAGTGGGAATACTGCTTTACTCCCCTTCTATTCATCTCGGCAGGGAATTTTAAGAGATCTTTCTAAAGTTCCAACTCCTGGACCTCAGGATCAAACTGCAAAATCTGGTGAACAGGTACATTATCTCCACTTCTTTTAAAAAAAATAAATCTTTTCATCCTGTAATAATTGACTTTGTAGAACTTGTCAAAAAGAAAAGATTGCTTCTTTAGTTTATTTACTAAAGCTCAATTTGTTGTAAAATTCGCTCCGCTAGAGCAATGGTGAACCTAATGGCTCGGACGCCATGGCTACTGCTGCTATCATCACTCCAGACGGTGACAACACAGTGGTGACTGCTGAACGGTGATGGAGAAATCCTTCTTGAAGTGAGATGGATAATTGAGTTTCATCTGTTGTACTATCTGCCAAAATTAGATTGTACATAGTAAAATATTGTACTCTTAGGCATCCAACATTGTTTCTCAGAGTTTTAGTGTTTTATCCTGGTGTTCAACTGTAATTTAGATCTGGAATTTGTATCACAAATCGAGAAACCTCAGTAAGAAAGATCTGGGCTTACTTTAATCTGCTTTTACTTCAGTTTTGTTTCCTTAAATTTTTTACATAATTTGAATTCCATTGCATCCCAGTTGGGCAGATCTGCTTCTGACGGACTTTTCCTTCTTTTTGGTTCGAAGAGTTGATGATCTACAAAAATCATTCATTAGTGGAGAGAATTATGAGTTAATGCCAAAATTACGCATTCGCGGGGAAATTAAAATAAAAAATGGAAGTGTATATTACACTGTTTTGCTCTTTGCAAATATCAGAGTTTTCTCATGTAACTCTACAGGCGTGAAATATAGATCACATTATTCTGATTTCTGAGTCCACGCAATTCAATTATCGACCTTTTTGTCACGTCCTTAGTTGTTAACTAAGTACATGTGCGGCACTTGACAACTTGCTCACGATCTTGCTCACGTTCTTGCTATGCCAAGTCAGCCTTACTACACTCAAGATCGCTAAGAGAATGGAAGAAAGAACACAAGAGAATTGTTAAAGGAAGCTTTGTATTAGAGAGAACTTGAATTGTTTGTTTGGTGAATTACAAATGAGTGGGCCCCTTTATATACTAGTCTCCTAGGGGCTAGTGTGTAAATATTAATTGTTACACAAGTCCTTAGTATTTATAAGATAAGAGCTTTCTCTAGAACTCTCTCCAAACCTAGAAGATTCCAAGGACTTTCCTAGCAAATCTATAGGGATTTAGGATCTTTCTAAGGAAATGTCCGTACTTCTCTAGAATCTTCTCACAAATGCTAACCTTCTTTCCTAGGTAATTTTCCATATAGCATTAATATATGCCAAATGGCGCCTATGTGGCATGATGACATGGCGGGTCATCACACTCTCCCCCACCCAATATTGCAATGACCGCGGCGCAATGCTGTTGCACAAACTCTCGGATCTTATCTTTGAATTGCCACAAGTCTTCATATCGTTCCCAGGTGGCCGGTGATTGCCCTTTCCAATGGACGAGGAACATAGCGGTGGCTTTTTTCCCTTGTTTTCGCCTGGCCTGGTAATCTATAATAGCCTCAGTCTCCCGATCATGCGAGGAGGTGATAGTCATTGGCGCTCGACTTGATTGGCCCCTACTCGGATCATCCTTATCTTCATGATATGGCTTAAGCATGCTGGCATGAAAGACGGGGTAGATCTTAAGATACGATGGCATGTCAAGCTTGTATGAGATCTTGCCTACCTTGGCGACGATCTTAAATGGCCCATCGTACTTGCGAATCAGATTCTGATGCATGCGCCGTAGTGCCTTGAACTGTCTTGGGTTAAACTTCACCGTGGCCATGTCCCCAACTCTATAGTCTGTGGGACACGCTTACGGTCCGCAAACTTCTTCATCTTCTTAGCTGCCTTATCCAAGTAGGACGTAGTAGTGTCGAGCTGCTCCTCCCATCCTTTGGCCATATGATAAGTCCCCAAACTCTTTTCCTCGAATGCGGCTGGTAATGAATGTGGAGTTTGTGGTTATTGGCCTGTGGCTAGCTCAAATGGTGTCCGCCCGATGGACACACTCCGCTGCAAGTTATAAGAGAATTGGGCGATGTCTAGGAGCCTTGCACAATCTTTATGATGCGTGCTTACAAAATGCCTCAAGTAGCATTCTAGTAAGGCATTGACCCTAGGGCTATGCATAATTTGTTAAATACCGAATTACCGTACCGAAACCGAAAATTTTGGTATTTGGTACACGGTATTTTGGTATTGGGTTTAACTTTTAAAAAAATTGGTATTAGGAATGGTATTTGGTATTTTAAAATAAAATATTAAAATACCGATACCGTATCGAAATATATATTATATTACACAAAACATATATTATCAATTATAACATAAATATAAAAAATCTAAAATTTTACTTTCCTTTATTCTCTAAGTTCATCAATTAACTCTAAACAAGTATCAAGACATTTCTAATGATCAAATATTCTTTTATATACAATTTTCTCTATTTGGGTAGATATTTGCTAGTTTTGGACAAAATTTTTGTTAATAAATATTTTCAGTTTTGCATTTTTGAGTATTTTAATTAAGAATATTAGAGTCTATGGCTCTATGCACTAGTTAGTATTCAAACCGAATAAACCGAAGTTACCAAACCGAATAAATCAAAACCGAAAGGGGAAAACTGAACCATATCGAATTTAATTAGATACGGTATTGGTATAGGATTTTAAGAAACCGAATACCGAAAATACCGAACCGAAATGTCTAAATAACGTACCGTACAGACCGACGAACACCCCTAATTGGCCCGTTTCGTTTGTCCATCCATCTATGGGTGGAAACTAGTAGAAAAGTGCAGTTCTGTGCTAAGTATGTCGAACAACTCTCTCCAAAAGTTTCCAGTGAAACGGGGGTCTCGATCACTGATGATATGCCTTGGTAAGCCCCCATACTTTACCACGTTCGTAAAGAATAGCTTGGCGGCTTCCTTAGCTGTGCAACCCGCTGAGGCGGGCATGAAGGTGGCATATTTGGAAAATCTATCCACGACCACCATAATAGTACCATAACCGTCGGACTTCGGTAGGCAAGTGATAAAGTCCATAGTCACGCTCTCCCATGGACGCTCTGCAATTGGTAGTGGCTCCAAAAGTCCTCCGGGTTGTTGTTGTTCAACCTTGTCCTGTTGACAGAGAAGACAAGTCTGCACATAGCACTCTATGTCATCTCGCATGTGTGGCCAATAGTAGACTGACTCAACCAAGGCCCTAGTGCGACGTTGACCTGGATGACCAGCCGCATTGTGTCATGACTCTCCCTTATGATCCGTCGTCTAATGTCTCCAAACTTAGGCACGTAGACCTGCTGACCTGTGGTAAGTAGTAGGCCGTCTTCTATCCAAAACCGTCTCGTCTTGCCTTTGTTGGCTAACTCGATAAGCTGTTTGGCTGCTGGATCATGCTGCATGCCTTTTTTATAACCTCCCGAATATCCCATCTTGCTGAAGTGATTGTAGCAAGCTCGACTTTCCGGCTCAAGGCATCGGCTACAACGTTACCTTTGTCCGGCTTATACTGCAGCGCATAATAAAACTCATCTAAGAAATCCTGCCACCTAGCCTATTTTGGTGTGAGCTTCTTCTGCGTCTGAAAGTAGCTAGTAGCCACATTGTCGGTCTTTACCATGAACCTCGACCCGAGCAGATAATGTCGTCATGTACTAAGGCAATGCACAATGGCAGTCATTTCCTTCTCTTGCAACATGTAACGCCAATCCGTCTTATTTAACTTGCGGCTCTCAAACGCTATGTGATGGTTATCCTGCATCAAGACACCCCCTATGGCAAAGTCTGAGGCATCTGTGTGCACCTCAAATGTCTTGGCAAAGTCAGGTAACGCCAAGACTGACTCCTCTGTTATATATGCCTTAAGGCCTTCAAATGCCTTTTGACAATACTCCGTCCAAACCCATGGCTTGTTCTTCTTTAGCAACTCAGTCAATGGTGCGGCCTTTGCTGAGTAGCCACTGATGAACCAGTGATAGTAGTTAACAAGGTCAAGGAAGGATTTCAACTCAGTTACCTTTATTGGTGCCTCCCACTCCTGGATAGCATGTACCTTAACCTCGTCCATGCATAGCTCTCCATTGCTAATGACATGGCTCAAGAAGTGCACCTTTGATTGTGCAAACTCGCACTTCTTCCTCTTGATGTATAGCTCGTTCTATCGTAAGACTTGGAAAACCTTCCTTAAGTGCTCCATGTGCTCCTCCAAGGTGTTGCTATAGATGACTATGTCGTCTAGGTAGACTACCACGAACTGATTAAGGTAGGGATGGAAAATATTGTTCGTAAGGGTGCAAAATGTGGTCGGTGTATTGGTTAAGCCGAAGGGCATCACCAACCACTCAAAGGCTCCATATCTCGTCACACATGCTGTCTTTGGCTCATCCCCTTCCGCAATGCGAACCTGGTAGTAGACCTTTCAAAGATCCACCTTGGTAAAGTACTTGGCTTTCCCAAGTCTATCGATCAAGTCAGCAATGAGCGGGATCAAGTACTTATTCTTAACGATGACCTTATTAAGTGCTCGGTAGTCTATGCACAAACTCAACAATCTATCCTTCTTCTTTTGGAACAATACTGGTGCACCAAAAGGTGCCTTTGATGGGCGAATGTGACCAACATCTAGCAGCTCCTTCAATTGTTTCCTGAGCTCCTCTAGCTCAGGAGGTGCCATATGATATGGGGAAAATGCGGGTGGCTTAGCCCCTGGCTCCAACTCAATATTGTGATCCACCTCTCGCCTAGGCGGCTAGTACTTAAGCAACTCCTCGGGCATGATATCTTTGTTTTCCTCAAGAAACTTCTCTATAAAAGGCAACATTATCTCTTGAAAATTCTTGTCTTCCTCTAGACTTGCAATGGTTGCCACAAACTTCGGCTCTCCTTTCTTGATCCCCTTGACAACCTACATAGCTGAGAGTTGTGCTTGGATCTGTCTGTATGACATAGTCACTGTAGGTACCATGCAAGCTCCTTCTCTCTCTATAACCAAGAGACGTTGGAGGTAGGGGTCGATCAAAGTATGATAATGTCTAAAGAACTCTTGCCCTAGTATGATGTCAAAGATATCCATAGCGGTTACAGTAAAGTTTGTCATACCTTTCCAAGTTCCCAATTTGACGCCAACTCCATTAGCTACCCCACGAGCAATTTGTACCTCAGCATTCACGGTCTTGACGCGAGAGTTGGTTGGAGCAAACTTCAATTCTAGTCTCTTTGCGACAACCTCAATCACGAAATTATGAGTTGCTCCAGTATCCACCATTGCACGAACGGGCTTGTTGTTGATGGTGAGATCCACTTACTGATTGCCATTCTCGGTAGGTTGGATAGCTTGATTTGTGATAGATCATACCTGACTGTGCGGTTCCTGAACTCTCTCCTTGCGGCTGCTCCTTCCGTTCACGGACCATGGAACTGAGGCTCTTGAGGTCGGGACAATTCCTAAAGCCATACGGCCCTCCGTATATGTAGCATCCCTTTTTCTCGGCTTGTGCCTTCTTCTCGG